CCATTAGAACCGTCTCATCAAGACGAATCGAATGGCGGTAAGATCATCTCTCTACGATTAATATTGGCGAAGTTACGATACAATAAAGTTTTAAGTATAATTCTGGCTAAAATTATGTTAATTTTTGGCCGGAATTATGATATACAAATATAAGAAATTTTTATATAGTCACATCTCTTTATAATCACCAAATATGGACTGTCCCAAATGTGTGACTATAAAGAGAGTTGACTGTACTCAAATTATGACCCATTTTGAAGTTGGTTCTAAACTTTCACCTCCCAATGTTATAATTCTTAATGCTGGAGATCCACTATCAAATGATTCTGCTGTAGATAAATGCCTAAGGATGTATTTAACTGAAATTGGTATGGAAAATAATGGAAATATTAATGTAGTTGCTGATGAAGCAATATTTAGACGAGGTATTAGTTATTGTAAAACAAATCAAAAAACAAAAATGATTCTTGGGCAGTGGCATACAAATAAAGACATGATGATGACATTAATTACAATTTTTTCAGGTTATGGGATATTCAACATGGCAGGAATATTAGGTGTATGATTTTTAAATAAATTGGAAAAGGGTGTAGACTTCAGAGCAACTTCAAAAGTGTTGGAATTAATTTGGATTTCTGTGGGAATTGCAATTTATATATATATTAAAAAAAAAAAAACAAATGTTAGATAGTATTTTAAGTGAAGAAAATAATTTTGTAAAAGTTTGGTATTTGTATTTTCAATGGGCTAGCTATTGGCGTGCACATTGGTTTGGAATTCGATAGGGAATATTCAATCTACAACATGAAAGTTTAAAAGCTTTCTCACCTTTGTTTCCTGTTGCTGGTAAATCCAATTATGCAAGATCTATAACATATCATATATATTGTATAGAAAATGATCCTTTACTTCGTAAAATGCTTCATATAGCACCATCTGTTAATTTAACGAGCCCTGGACATTTTTTTGCATATGACGAAGCGTTAGAAATATTTGAGGTAACGTTTGTAAAACAAAACGTAATAAGAATTCCAACAGATGGGGAAGAATTAAAATTAAAAATAAAAGCTACACAACTAGAAAAGGAGCGAACAGAAATGCTGATTTGTGATTACATTGGAGATTCTGTTCAAAGTTCTCGTCCACATAATGTTCAATCTCGAAAGGAAAAGATTTGAGAACTCGCACATTTATTGATTAACGCTTTTGAGTCTGAAAATCCTCTTGAAAATCCAGTATTTGAATTCTGTAATAATTTAAATGATGATGGAGTTAATCAATTAGTTACTGCATATGATATTGGAATTAAAAGATTATAAACAATAGTAAATCAAGAAATTTTGTTAACAGAACATTATACAACTGTTGGTAGAAGAGCAAGAAATATTATACGTGTTACAGTTGCTGATATTACTAAGATGAAGAAGGAAAAGAAAATAGAAATGAGAGAAGAAAAAGAAAAGGAGAAAAGGAAAGGGAGAGAGAGAGGGAGAGAGAGAGGAAGTGAAAGTGGAAGAGGAAGTGGAAAAGGAAGTGGAACAAGGAAAAGGAGAAGGAGAAAGTGAGGAAGAAACAACTAACACTTGAACTCCAAACTACCATGCCTACCCGTACCTACTACCCACTATTATGAAAAAAAAAATCATTTTTTAATTAAAATATTAAAAATTTTTTATTAAAATAATTAAATAGTTAATGTAATACAATTTTAATAACATTACAATTACCATAATACTGTAAGACTAATAAAATTGATTTCTTTGATGACGTATGAAATATTTTGATTTGCGTTAAAAAGATAATGAAATTTCCATTATACATGAAAAAAAAAATAATCTATATAAGTAAATATAAATTAAAAATAAATTGATTTTCAAAAAAATAAATTAACACACATAAATAATTACATTTTTTTCACCTGATCCATCTGACATCACGAAAATCAAAAATCATTAAGAAATGATTTTTAACTATTATTCAACCTATATAAAAAAAAAGACAAATGAACCTATATATAAGATACAAAAAAAGTAACAGTAACATGAAAAAAATAATAATAATACTTTAGTATTAATCAACTTACAAAAATTAACATCATTGAAGAAATTGCCTATCTATTCAATCTATATAACGAAAAATAAATTAGTGATCGAAATATTTATCATTATAAATCAAAAATCATCGCACAAAACTTACCTTAAACAAAAATTCTGAGTTAAAAGAATAAAAAATTCCAAATTCATTAATAAATTTTGGCTCACTTAAAGAGAAATTAGTGAAATTAGCATAAGCAAATACTATTATAATCAGCAAATATAATTTAAAAGAGTCATAAATACAAGAATATATTAATAATTCATAAAAAAATGAGGCTTTATTATTTTTTTTTTTGTCTTTAGTATTAAAAATGCTTTCTATAATAGAAAAAATTTGATTTTTTATATTTTACGCAAAAGCTGCTTAGACAACCACCATTATTAACTTAGAAAAACATTTTCTTCTCGTGATTTTGCATATATTATCATCGTCAAAAGTATATTTTTCTCTTTTTCTCAACTTCAATCTCAAAAAAACCACTTTTTTAAGGTGGTTTTACATGAAATAAAAAAAAAAAATTACTTAAATGGAAAGTGACGATAGAAATTAATAGAACACATGATTATCTATAAATTTTGTAATTTACACAAGCATAGTACATAAGAATTTGACGGTTAATTACAAAATAAAGTTGTTAGATCAATATTACACAAAATCGATTTATTATAGAAATGATCTGCATATGATATTTCCGGTGACTGTTATTATTTAAAATGTACAGTATAATAAAATTTATATATGGGAGGTGGTCAGTAGAAAAGGGGGAAATTCAAAAATTTTAAGATTTTTGGTTATTAAGCTAATTTTGTTTCCATGATCATGATTGGCAAAGTAAACTGATAAAAAAAATTTTGACCAAAATTTGGATTTTCTCCTTTTCTACTGACCACCTCCCATATGTCACATTCCTGGTATTAGCTTCTTATTCAATAAAATCCTTCCAACTATAAAAATTACCAACAGATAAATAAAAGTTTATAAAGAGTTATCAGAATTTTCAATAAAAAAAACTTTCATTATAATCTTGAACAAACTCAAAGACAAAACGTAAATGTTGGATATATACATTTATAAAATAATGCTTTTGATGAAAATTCATGAGTTCCATTATTGCTGGGCTATACTGTGTATACTTCTTTAGGAAAGAGGTTTTTCAAACTTTCTATTAAAAGAAAAGAGATTTTTTTGCAATTTTTTTGGCAAGAATTTGGCAAGGATTTTACTTTTACTAATTGTAGTATTGCTCAAGGTCAAGAAAAATTAGGTTTTCATTTAATGATGAAATATTATAATTTAAAGAATATTTCACATACTTCAGTATTAGGACTTAATGAACCTATCATTATAGAAATGCTACAAAAAACAGTTCATAAGGTTTTTTCTAATTGTTTTTTCCATCGAAGTCAGGTTAAAAAGGAAAAAACTTTGGTTCATAGCCTTAAATAAAAAAGTGATGAACTTGAAAAAATTTATAGCAATAAAGAAAATCCTATTATTCATGGAATAAAATTGAATGAAAATGGAAAAAATATTTTTTCAGAATCCACACAAACTCTTATGGTGATGCATGAAAAAGATAAATTAGCATTATACAGTATAATGCCAATCATAATATTAAATGATTAAAAGCTAAGATTGCAAAATTTGAAATAAAAAATCCAATTTGAATGATAAGACTACAGTCAACTCCCTCTATAGTCACTCCCATTATAGTCACATTCTACTATATAGTCACACCAGTTGAATGTTCAAAACACTTTATTATTAAAATCTATCCTATATAGTCACAATCTATCTATAGTC